GGCCTCTGCTTGGAGAACCGTCTGCAGGTTAGATAAATATGAGAGTGCAGGAGGGAAGTCCTGGGAGGAAGGGCTTCACAGGTGGAATGGCACCAGGGTTTTCAAAAAGATAAGGCTACGATAAAGGCAAACAGTTGGGGGGGTGGTAATTGGAAATTACAGGAAAAACAAACTCTTTAGAAGTACAGAGTTGTTGGTTTTTTTTTTTTTTAAGTTAATAACAATCTCCTCTTACAGAGAAGACCACAGGAAAATCTTAGTTTATGAACCAAAAACATCAGGATGGGAACGTAACTTGCAATGTACTAATCCAAGAGTGGCAAGAAGGAAAGAAATGGTACAATGTGATTGCAGGAAGTCAACAGATAACACCTAAAACAATAAACCAAAAAATGACAACATGAACACAGTATTTGGCTCTGCAGAAGACTCCCCAGAAGGGACAGTTACAAGGCAAAGCTGGTCTCCCTTCTGTACAGGAGTTTTAGCTTGCTGGCTCTGGGCCGGATGGCAGGGCTTGGCTCAGGGGTTCTATCGCTTACTGGCCATGTCACCTTGGCAAGTTACTTGGCCCCTTCGTGTCTAGCTCATCCTTGTAGAGACCCTCCTCTGCATAGTGGAGCTACTATATTACAACACTGATCCATATGACACGTGTAAAAGAATCCCTGGCACATAAAGTATGACACGTAAAAATTTTGACCAAAGTTAATAAAAATAAACTGGGGAAAAACCTTAATGAACCTGTAGTAATGCTCTCAAAGCAATCTACAATGAAAACAAAATATGACAAACCCAAAGAATGAAAGCCAGGCTCAGGTGAGCCGTGGGGCCATTACAGAGTGGCCTGTGAGGGCTGTAGCCTGGTGGCTCCTCGGAAAGCTTCCCAAGTCACTTCTAGTGCAGTGGCACCTCCCTGGGCTCCTAGTTTTGCCACCTGCCTTCCGCTAGCTCTTGGCTAACCTGTACCTTACAGCTCCAGTTCTTTCCCCCAGCTACCGCAGGCCATTTCCAGGCCCTGGGCACGGCAGCCAGCCTCCGTAGGCGAGCACCCCCCCTGCACTGCCGATGGGCCGTCCTCCAGGCCGGGGGAGCAGAGTCTCCCTCCCACCAGGACTGCGGCTCACGGGGCTCCTCCTGTGTTCCCTGTGATTTAGCTGATGGTTCTGTCCTATTAGACCCCAATCCCTGCAGGCCAGGACTGCAGGCGCAGCACGGGGCCTCTCTCTCTGGGCCACACAGCTCCAGACAGCGTCTAAAGAGAGCCAGCTCCACAAAGAGGTCACTGATGGCTTCACCACTGGTGGCCAAGCAAAAAGGACCAAGCTCCCTCTGTAGCTGTGCCTCTTAAACAGGCAGCAACAAACCTCACCTGCTCTCAAACCAGGACTCTCCCATTTCCTTTTCTGGCGTGACTTTTCCCCACAACACAAGGTCTTGCTAGGTTACCCAGAATGGCCTTGAACTCCCAGGCTCAAGCAGTCCTCCTGCCTCAGCCTCCCACGTAGCTGGACTGCAGGGGAGCACCAACGCTTGAAGGATTTTAAGGATGGAAGCTGCCACCCTCCACCTTCAAAGTTCACCTGACAGTAACGTTCAATGGAAATGACCTGACCAGAAAGGCCATCTAATCTCACACGTCACCCACTTCACAGGGGACCTCTAGCTCTGTTCAGATAGACCTAACAGGTGCACTAGCTCCCGAGCTGACCGACCCTGGGAGAGCACAGTGGAGGGTCCAATTCTGAGTGCTCCCCATGTTGGGAAGTGCCCCCCGTGCATGGTAGGACATTTAACTAGTAAACCCTCTGAGCAGGCCAAGCCTGTCTTCCTATGGTGTTTGCTTACTGCTCTGACCTTGGGAAACCACAAAACAAATCTCACCACTTAGATGCAAATAGCTACAGTGCATCCTTTATGTCTTTTCCAAACACAATTAAATGACTGTGAAGGTCTCAGACACTAGCACATTAGGACAGGAAGGGTATCACACAAACTCCAATTGCAAATGGTGACAGGTACAGAAACAGGACTAGAAAAAATGTTAATCACCACTCCAAGTGTTTCCAACTCTGACGGCGGTTCTCAGGGCCCAGAAGAATCAAGGATGCTGTGGGGAAGGCAGCTCTGCTGTTGGGCAATGCCTGCTGGGAGTCTCAGGGTCCCTCAAACCCATGAGCCCCTCCTCCAGTGCTTTGCAAACCATAGGAAAAGCAGCTCTTAAGCAGCTTATCAAAAGTTGCTCTGGGTCCACTATAAACCTCTAGGTCTTCTGATGTTCTGAGAAAAACCCTCTTAGGTTGACTGCTGTGATGACCCGAAGCCAGCTTCCAGCTGGCAGCGTGTGCCAGGCCCTCGAGTCCTGAGGGAAGTGACAGTGGGCCACCACCGTGGACTCGTCTGTTCCTGCCGCTGCTCAGCTCCTAGCACCAGGAGTGGCCAGACTCCTTACCACAAGCTGGCAGACGGTCCCCTGCCAGACCCAGCAAGACCAGGTGCTGCCTGGAGAACAGACCGGCTTTCTGTCGATCTGCCTGTGCCCTCCACTCCTGTGCCACTGTGTTGCATATTGTCACTCCCACCCACATTGGTCCTGGAGAGGGGACACTCCTGGGACTCCACCTCCCCAGACCAGGCCAGATCCTCCTTAGGGCTTCCCAACTGGAGCTGCAGTGGGTACAGAAAGAGGAGGGAGGTGTGGGGTGTGCACAGCTGGGCCCTCCTTGCCGTGGGTGAGGAGGAGGCAGAGAGAAGGGCCGAGTCCCAGAGGCCCTCAGCACAGACTGGCCTCCACATGCCCGAGTACTGTGCACACTCCTGCCTGGAGTCTGTGAGCTGCTCCCAGGTGCCCTTCAGTAACCCTCTTTTTGGATGACAGAGGCGAGTTACTGGCAATACCAAGAATCCTGCCAGCCGACATGGGAGCCTGCAGCCTGCGGATGTGTTGGAAAGGAGGGGCACACCATTCTGACCATCTTACACTTGGTGCAACCATCACGTACCAGGGCCAATCATCACAGGCACCGTTCCCAGGGCTACAAAATATAAAGACAAAAAGACACGGTCTCTGTTCTCAAAAAACCCAGCCTCCTTCAATCAGAGGCTCAGAGATCACACCTGAGAGGACACTCACTCCACCAGAAGGAACCTCGTCAAGTCAAGAACACTCAGCAGCTAGAGACAACGACACAACTGAAAACGGCCCGGCTAAGACAAGGCCATCAGGATGATCACGGTTTTAGCCTCTTAAATGACTGGCAAGGCCACAAGTACAACAGAAAACAGGGAGCAGGGAGACTGTCAACAACAAAAGCTGACATTTAACAACAATGGGCATGTGACAATTGCCAGTTCAGCCATAAATATGGTCACTGTTGCTGCCAAGATAAAACACTTCAGTTAGGAATACCAAGAGTGAGGTGGCCAACCTGCAATCCCAGCAACTTGGGAGGCTGAGGCAGGAGGATCACAAGTTCAAAGCCAGCCTCAGCAACTTAGTGAGCCCTTAAGTAACTCACACTCTGTCTCAAAACATGAAAAGGGCTGGGGATATGGCTTTGTGGTTAAGAAGCCCTGGGTTCAATCCCCGGTATCTATCCTACCCCCCCCACCAAAAAAAAAGAAGCAACACCTAAGAAACCACCTAAATAGCACCAGCCTCAAATTCTTAGACTAAGGAGGCGTGGCAGGTACAGAAGATGGAGAGGAAGGCTGTCGCCCAGGTAGGTATCCCAAGATGTGGTTTGAGGCTGGGCCCTGGAAGGACAGGACAGTCACTAATGGCAGGACCTGTTGGATCCCGATGCACTGACTGGCAAACGGCCACCTCTGTCCATCTCTCCTGGACATTAACAAAGCCAAACGTCTTCTGGCCTTTCTCCCAAGAGACCTGCAGGCTGGGGTCACAAGGGCATGTCAGGAGGAAGGCAATGTCTACCCGAGGCCTGCGGTGGCACCTCACAGGGCAAACCAGCGGCTCGGAGCGCACTTGAGCGTAGAGGGTGAAGGGGCCTCTTCACTGCCCTCCCCTCTCCCGCTGCTTCTGTAGAGATGGAGGAGGCAGCGACAAAGGCTAGATCCACCGCGCAGAGCCGCTCCACAGCTGTTCTCTTGCTCTTGTTTAACTTCTCTCAAGAGAGGGAGGTATCTGCCCAGCTAAGCAGATGTTAAAGGCAGGTGATTTTGTTTCCATCAAGTTTCCTAAGTAACAGCAGACCAGCCCTGAAGGGTATCTCATGTCCCCATGGCGCCATCTACCCTGGGCTGCTACGTCAGGAGCTCTGTGCTTGGGACAGATTTTGCTGTTGGTTCCAGCACCTTCCCAATCTCTAGTTCTGTTAGTAGAATTTAAGAGGCATAGCGTGACCCTACCCACCTCAACGCCTAGATTTCATCAAATTTAGAGCTGCATCAGAGGCAAAGGGAGACTGGAGGTTTTCAAATTCTTAGGAAAAATCAGATGAAAAGCCTGATTCTTTGCTTTGAAGCCCAGCAAAATTGTCACATTAATAAAACTTTATCTCCACGAGGAGAACATAAAACATGAAAAAAATATATACTTATGCCAGGTATGGTGGCGCAGGCCTGTAACCCCAGCAGCTCAGGAGGCTGAGGCAGGAGGATCGCAAGTTCAAAGCCAGCCTCAGCAATTCAGTGAGACTTTTATCTCTAAATAATATTTAAATACAAAAGAGGCCTGGAGATGTGGCTCAGTGGTTGAGTGCCCCCAAGTTCAAACCCCAATATCCTCCCCACCACACAAAAAAGTTTTTTTTCAAAGTGTTAAAAGCTCACAGCCTCCCAAATAAACCTTAACCTCCAAGTCTTGCTAATCTTCCCAGGGTGATCTTCTCTGTGAGAAGGCTCACCACGGTGCGTTGTGTCCTAGCTGCCACAGGTGCTTTCCTCCTCCCCCTCCACACTCAACAGTGCAAGGCCACCACTCCTGGGGGGCACAGGGGAAGAGCCAAGGTGACTGCGTGTCCAGTCCTCTCCACTACCTTCAGCGCTCTCCTGCTGTGGAGCTGTTCTCACAAGGGGCAAACATCCGGTGGCACATCTCCTTCTCTCTGTCCGTGTAGTCCCTGTAATAACTGTACAGAGAATACAGAGTTTGTAAGAGGTGACACCTGGTGGCTGGAATTCCCTGCTCAGGTACAGAAACGCTGAAAACTCAACAGGCCTTAAATTGAACCAGGGGTGGGTGCAAGTGAGGCTGGAGGGGCTGGGTCACAGCCTGTCTAGAAGTCTTGGACACAAAGCCACCACTTGAAAAGATGGCAGCCATGAAGGCTGCAGCCCCTCCACATGGGGATCCATCCGGACCAAGTCCTGCCACGCAACCCCTCACACTCAGTGCTTCCAGCTTATCTTGAGATTTTCTGCTAAGGAACTGTCAGAGTCCAAAACTCCCACATCTAACAAGAGAGGATATTTTTATGCTTCCGAAAGTCAATTTCTGGAAGGTCTTAAAAGGCCTAAAATACAACACTTTGATCCAAATATAAGAGATGCACACACCTCAGACTCAACGCCAAGAAAGGTTTGAGTAGCTGGGTTGACTGTTAAACGTTATGACAGAGGAGTAGAGAATCTGCCCAACGCAGAGGAACAGAAATATACCTTAGAAAACAGCTACTGTCTTACTAGGTGACTTCATTTATCAGAGACTATTTTTGAAGTTTTCTCCAAAATGAACCCACAACTTCCAGTCAGAAAAATTATGTTGCCAAAAGTCAGGCGAGAATCAGACCTGATACTCATTTCTGATCCCACGGAATGCCACAGTCTGTTGAGAACAGTGGGCGAGTTTCGGGCGGTGTGGGCAGTTAGTCTAAAGCATGGGACACACCGAGGATTATACTGGTTGCTGGGCACAGGGTCACATGCCTGTAATCCCGGTGACTTGGGAGGTTGAGGCAGGAGGATTACAAGTTTGAGACCAGCATTAGCAATGTAGTGAGACCCTGTCCCAAAATAAAATATAAAAAGGGGGCTGGGAATGTGGCTCAGGCGGTAGCACGCTCGCCTGGCATGCGTGCGGCCTGGGTTCGATCCTCAGCACCACATACAAACAAAGATGTTGTGTCCGCCGAGAACTAAAAAAAAAATAAAATATTTAAAAAAATATATATATATAAAAAGGGCTGGGGGCATAGCTCACTGGTTACATACCACCAGGGTTCAATCCCTAGTCCCAGAGAAAAAAATTATACTGCCCCATGTTTCTAGGGGGCGCTTATCTGCAAGGTGGGGCACAGGAAGATAAGAAATGATGACGTCTTATTTGGCAGTTGGTCCCCCTTCCTACCAGGGAATGCTGATGTAGGGCACTGAGCACTTCAGAAAACCAGCTCTAGATGGGGCTGCCTCCCAAATGGTCACCAGCCAGGCCTCCACCCAGGTGGCTGGACCAGAAAAGTGGCTCCATCTCACTCCACCTGTGGTCACATTCCTGCTGACAGAGTCTCACCTGGCCAGTTTCTTCAGCTCGTTATTAATGTCATGGTTGAAGGGCTGTTCCTTCTGGGCTCGCACTAGAAAATCCCGGGCCTGCTGGTACTCGGTCAGGAGGAGGCAAGCCTGTGGGATAGCGCAGAGCTTTCAGAGCGCGCTTGGGAATGGGGGCTCCCGGCAGCGACTGAGCTGAGCACGCTGCCCCTTTTCTTGGCATTTGTCCCCAGCTCACCTGTCCACACCTGAAGAGGGCTTTGGCATTCTTTTGGTCAATGATCAGAGCCTGCTCTCCGTAGCGCAGGGCCATGGTGGGTCGGTCTAGCTTCAGGTAGGCAAAGGACAGGTTAAGGAGAACAAGGAGCTTGGC